ACCACACCACGAAAACATACCTAAAACCCAGTGGCAGCAACTGGTAAATTAGGGAAGACAGGAGTGACTCAAGCAGCAGAGGATACTACACACTTTCCAGTGTTTCAGTGTTGGAAAGTCCTTCGAGGATTCCGATGACAAATATTAAATCTTCTGTCATAGTCCCATAAGCTCCTCAGGCTCTGTTTATTTTTGTTTGCTTTTTGTTTCCTTTTTCTCTCTTGTCCAAATTGTGTAATTTTTATCGTTCTTTCACCTCACCAGTTCTTTCCTCTGCCTTTTCTACTACACACTTTCCAGTGTTTCAGTGTTGGAAAGTCCTTCGAGGATTCCGATGACAAATATTAAATCTTCTGTCATAGTCCCATAAGCTCCTCAGGCTCTGTTTATTTTTGTTTGCTTTTTGTTTCCTTTTTCTCTCTTGTCCAAATTGTGTAATTTTTATCGTTCTTTCACCTCACCAGTTCTTTCCTCTGCCTTTTCTATTCTGAGCCCCCCCCCCCGCTTGGGATTGAACTCAGGGCCTTGTGCATGCTAGGGAAGCTTTCTTCCACTGAACTACAACCCTAGTAGGACTGTGATTTTTAAAAAAATCTAGTTCTAAATGAAAAAAAAGTTGCATATTTCTTTTATTCTTTTTTAAAAAGTACTGTCTGGTTTTTCTTTTTTACCTTCTATTTCTTTACTGAGATGTCCTTTTATTCAAGCATACTTATAATTGCTCACTGAGGCATTTTTATGATATGTTACTTTAAAATCTTTTTCAGTTATATCTAAATTTCTGTCTTCTCAGAGCTGGCACTGCTTTTCCTCATTCTGTTTGAGATCTTCCTGGCTCTCGGTACGGCAGATGTCAGGTGCCTGGACATTATCGTGTCGTAAGATTTTGTCCCATCCAGCCTGCTCTGGCACCACCTGGCTGGGAGGAACCTTGCTACCCATATCCCTCTGTGTGAAGCTGAGTCCAAATCCCACTCTCAGTCTTCTGCTGGCCGGGCTGGGCCACAGCATTCTGTGGTGTTTGGGTGGTGCAGACAGCTCATGTCTATAGGCACCAGCTTTTTGTTGGTCCTCTGGCTGGCCTGACAAACCTTTGTGGGGCTTCATTTATCTCTACCCACCCAAATTTCCTAGGTCTCCACGCATGAGGCAAAAGAAATTGCAGGGCCCTGGTGCCCCACTCTGCCTCCTCCATAGAGACCTCATGCTTCCTCTCCTTTCCCCTCTGGTGAATCAAAGCTACTTAGAGGAGCCAGGACAGTCATCCTCCAGCTCCCACAATGGAAGTTCCTCTCAGTTCTAAATGTAACTTACTTCACCATAAGTAAAGTTTATAAAATCCGTTATGTTTTAGTGATGGTTATATTTGACAAATGCCTTGTAAGTGTTCCTGAAATTTAACCTCAGTCCTCCTAAGTCAGGAGGAAAGCTCCAGAATACATGACTCAACTTGCCCAAGGAAACTTCACCAGGAGGAGGCTGGATAGAGGCACTGCCACCATCCTTGGAGGAGGCACTGTCCATTGCCACCTGCCGGGCAGAGCTTAGGCTCTGGATATAGGTCCTGATTTAGGGACCCATCACTCCCCTGGCCCAATGGACAGAAGAGGATGTGGGCACCACTGAGGCTGGGGCACAGAGACTGAAGGAAAAGAGGGTTGGTTACCTTTTCTGTCACCAGCTTTTCCTCTGCCACCTCGGGAGCCAGAAAGAATGAGTTGTAGGAGCCTAGGAGGGAAAACTGGCTTAGTTTCTTTCAGCTGTGGCCAGCTGATGCTAGAAGTGTTCCTAGGGTGGCCTCAGGTACATACCATTGGCAGGGGGTGGCCCGAAGAGCACAGTTCCATCCTCAGCCACCAGCACGTTGTCCAGGCATAGGCAAGCTACAACAGAGTGAGAGTTTGGCCTGAACACCTTGCTCAGGGCAGGGCACCCGCTAGTGTCACCCAGGGGACACCAGAGCATGGGTCCTGTGCAGGCTGAGCATCCTCCCTTCTGAGGCCTGGCAGACTGGCCAAGGGTGGCCAGGCATGGGCTCTTCTACCCCACCAGGCAGAGCTGCCCTAGCCGCCACATCACCACATTACTCCTGCCACACTGGGAGCGAAAGGGAGGGGAAGAAGTGTCCACACTGTGAGCGAGAGACAGGGCAGGGCAGTGTCCACTGTGGGGTGGGAAGTGAGTGGTCAGTGCTGCGACTGTCCCTGGGGGAAGGCAGGTCTGGGGGAGGCTGGGAAGACCACAGCCCCTCCTTAGGTCTCAGATCCCATTCTGCCTCAGGGCCCAGGGGTGGCTCCTCACTGGAGCCAGATAAGGAGCCAGAAGGCAGTGTCTCTCCTCTGATCACTTGGCCAGCCTTGTTAGAGCTGTCTTTGTTACTACTATGACAGTGTGAAACCACAGGTGAACCACCCATTTGTCCTACTGTCCGGCACGTGAAACTCAGGGGGACCACAAGCCACTGCAACATCTAATATTCCTGTCCCCAGCTCCCAGACCAGTGTTGACATCTCTGGGAACACTGTTACCTCCACCAAGACTGTGGGCTGGAGCTATCCCACCCTTCTTTATAGCAGGGATCGTCTGATTGAGGCCCACAGATAACAGGTATGCCCATTGCCTTCCCTGTACTGATACCGGAGGAGCAGTCAGTGGGCAGACTGTGCCTCTGCTCCTTGCTCACAGCATAGACCCTACCCCCTACCCCACTCCTGACTCACAGTGTGGACACTGCCCCCCCTCCTGCCACAGTGTGAATGATGACCTTTGTTCCAGGTCACAGTGTGGACACCCCCCACCCAGAATTATTCGGCTGTCCCCAGCCCAGCTCAGGTGGGCAGGTGTTACCCGTCACCTGGGTGCTCTGTATGCTTCTGCAGTGCACTGAGGCAGGCGAGGCACAGGGCCCAGAGCTCGTACTCCCTGAAAGGCCGGTCCAGCTTGGACAGGAGGTCCTGCAGGGACAGGCACTGTGGGAGACAGAGAAGTGTCCTGTGAGAAGACACTCAGGAAGGACTTCCATGGAGGGTGATAGGTGCAAACCCTTTTACTCCCTGCCCCCAGCCTTCCAGCTAGAAGGAACAAGAAAGTCTCCAAGTCAAAGCAAGTGTGGGTAAGGGTGTGGGAGCAGGGCTTGGAGCTCTTGCATACTGCTGGTTAGAGTATAAAATGGTGCATCTGCCATGGAAAGTGGCAGTTCATAAAAAAATAAAACAGGGAATTATCCTATGATCTAGCGATTCTACTTCTGATAATACACTAAAAAGAACTGATAGTAAGGACTGGGGAGATATTTTTGTTAAAGGTAGTATCATTTATATGTGCCAAAAAGGAGCAACCTACGCATGTGTGGATGGATAGATAAATAAAGAATGTGGCCTGTCCATGCAAGGAAATATTTCTCAGCCTTACAAAGGAAGACAGTACTGACAGGACGAAAATTGAGGACGTCATGCTCAGTGAAATAAGATAGAGACAAAAGGACAAATACTGTGTGAGTTCACATATGAAGTACCCTGGAGCTGTCACATCCACAGAGACAGAAAGTGAGTGGCAGTGTCTGGGTAGAAAGGAGGAATCACTGTTTGGAGGGCACAGAGTTTCAGTTTGGGAAAGTGAGAGTTCTGGAGATGGATGATGGTGACCAGTGAAGGCTACATGTCAATGCGAATACCCTCAATTTACTGAACTGTTCCTGTAAAAATGGTGAATTTTATGCTCTTTGCATTTTAAAACACACACATGCACACGCACACGCACATGAACAACATAAACTGAAGCTGAAGTAGAAAGAATTAACAGAGCCTGGAAGATAGTTCTTCTGTGTGGAAAGCTGAGACTAAAGAGTCTTAGAAGACCCAGATTCCAGACTTTAGTGGAAAGTTCCAGAGATCAGTGCCTTCACTCAAGACCCCCATCCAAAGCCCCTTGTGAACTGGTGGGGATGAAAATGGAGCAGCTCCAGTTCCGTGGTCCCTCCCAGCTCATTGACTTGTCAGTGCCACGAGTGCCCAGTGGCCTGTGTTCTGGGATCAGAGCACTGAGCCTTGAACCTGGGATAGGAGATCCCCAGAACTGGGCCTGCCCTGTGGGAGACTGAGGTCTGGGGGCCCCTGATCCCAGTATCTGGGCCAGGAAATCCTCATAAGCTAATGCAAAAGCTGTGCTCACTGTCAACCTTGCCCTGTGCAGACCCAGCGATCTCAGCTCTGCCCCTCAGCAGTGCTCACCCTCCAACAGTTTCCCCGGCACCTCTACCTCAGTTTCCCTTCTGGAATGTGGGTGTTGTGAGGCAGCTGTGCACAGGAAGGCATGCCAATCTATGGAGGAGTTAGGAAAGCCTGGAGTGGCAGCTGAGACATGTGTGTGCCCAGCCCCGAATAGAGCAGACTGTCAACACCATGGTCCTAAAATGGGCCTCCGAGTAATCACATTTCCCATGGGAGTTCTCAAGTGCTCTGCAGGACATGGAACACTGTTATGGTTTACATGCAGATGTCCCTCAAGAGCCTCATGCCATCACAGGTGAGGCTTTTGGAAGCAACTGGATTATGGGGGCTTATAGCCAACTTGCTGTTAGGAGGTGGGGTCTAGTTGAAAGAGGTGGGTCATTCAGGGAGTGGCCTGGGGACTTTATCTTTCTCCCAGCTTTTCCATGATCTATTTCCCTGTTCTCCATGATGTGAGCAGCTTCTCCACTGCAGCAGGCCCTTCCACCACGTCATTCTTCCTTGGAGCCAGCTGACTATGGACGGAAACGTCTATCAAATGTGAGCCCAAATAAGCCTTTCCTACTTTAAGTTGTGGATGTTGAATATTGTGTCTCAGTGACGAGAAAGTGACTAAGACAATATAAATTACACAGTCACTTGCCTCCAGTCCTTTGTGTCACAAGGGGCATCACTTTTGTCCTTGGGCTCAGACAGTGCCTGGTGAATACATGTGTGTTTGGACCACTGCCCCAGCTGTCCTTTCCCTGACGAACAGAGTTTTGGGGCAACTTGTAAAGAGCCAAGAGGGAAACATGCTTGATGCTGTGGTTTGAGTGTCCCCAAGGGTACCTGAGTTGGAATTTCACCCCACTGTGAGGTACTGAAGGGGGAACCAAATCTGACCACACTGTATGGAGGCGAGGCCTATGAGGGTGATTAGGATTAGATAAGGTCATGGGGAAAGGAGTCCTCATGGACCCTGGTAGCTTCATAAGAAGAGGAAGAGAAACCAGAGGAGACACACGCTCCTTGTCTCTTGCCATGTGATGCCATTTATCACCTTGGACTCTGCCAGCAAGAAGCCATCACCCTTAAACCTCCACAACTGTGGGCTAAAGAAGCTTCTTTTTTGTTTATGAAGTATCCCTGCCTAAGGTATTTTGTTAGACTAATGAAAAAAACCAGAAAAATATAGAAAATTACTTATATAGTTGGCTCATTCCCACTTGGTAGGGCTCAGCCACTTGATTATCTACAACAAGGATAGGAGTGACACAGACCTCTGAGATAGCTGAGCACTTTGTCCGTCATAAAGGATAGTACTGGGCTGGGGGCACTACATCCTGCTAAGGGCTCTGTGCTGGCAGCTGCGCAAATTCTAAGATTGATTGATGCCTCTGATCAGGCATAGATGCTACCTAGCCTTCTTCATGGACCGGAATGACAGGTGAGCAATCTCAACCTACAGTTTTGGTTTGTAACATCTGCTCTGTTGTTGTTGTTATTATTATTATTATTTTGAGTAGTACTGGGAATTGAACTCAGAGCTTTTGCATCCTAAGCACCTTTTTTATTATTTGAGGAAAAATCTGCCTAAGTCACTAAGTTGCCCAGGCTAAGGCTTGAATTTATAACCCCCCTGCCTCAGCCTCTTAGAGTACTGGGACTATAGGCATATGACCCCATGTTTGGTTTGGTTTCTAACTTAAAAGAATCAGCACAGCAGAACAAGGAAGATCCTGAGGTTAGAACTGGCAAAACAGGGCTCCTGGAGTAACCTCACCTGGAGATGCTGCCCCAGTTCAGGAAGAAAATTAAACCCCGGGTCGGCCTGGTTCATGGGTATGTGGGGCTGGAGCTATATAGGGCAGAGGGAAGGCTGGAGGGAGTGGTTGCTTTCTGGGTTGTCCAGAGATGAATGTCCCACAAGGTTGTGGGGAGAAGCTCTGGCCTTAGGATCACACCTGGGGTGACAGCTGGCCTCACAAGCTATATTCAAAAACAGGGCAGCTTGCTGGGTGTGGCAGCACACACCTAAAATCCCAGTACTAAGGTTGAGGCAGGAGGATTGAAAATTCAAATTCAGAGGTCTGGGGATTTAGTTCAGTGTTGCCACTGCCTGCCTTGCACGTGCAACGTCCTGAGTTCAATACCCAGTACAAGAAAAAAAAAAAAAAAAAAAAAACAAAAAAAAAAAAAAAAAAAAAAAAAGACAGAAAGAAAGAAAGAAAAGAAAATTCAAGTTCTATATAGGTAACTTAGTGAGACCTTATCTAAAAAAAAAAAAAATCAAAAAACAAACAAACAAACAAACAAAAACCAACACCAAGAATACAGGGCATCTCGATGAAAACCTTAAATTACTAGACAACAGCGAAGGCTGTCACGCTCCCCTTCTGTGGACTGAACCCCGAGGTCCTGGAGAAGCATGACTGCAGTGCCCAGCTGTACCCTAACTCCCCAGCCCCTGCCTCGCCCACACACCTGCTCCAATGCAGTGCTTCCTGGCTTCCCTCCTCCTTCCGGAATCCCCTCGGTGTCTCCAAGAGTCCGGGCTTCATGGCCTTCATCTTGAAGGTCTATAGGGTGGGGCGAGGGTCTGTTCTCTGCAGGCTCCTGGTCAGGGCGTGAAGTGTCTGGCTTTCCTGAGGTCCCTGGCCCCCTATCTGTGTTCTGGCTGCTTCCCAGCGCCTCTTCCAGCTGGGGTCTGGGTGCGTGCTCAGGCCACAGCCTGCTTTTAGACTGTGCCCTGAAGCATGAAAGGCCATTTTTCCCCTCTAGAAAGAACTTCATGGGGTCCGGGGAGAAGAAGTCAGATATAGTTAGCTGTTTTTTTGAGCTGGTCAGTGACAGGCAGAGGGCATTGGCCTCAGGGCCCTCGGAAAGCAGCCTGGGGAATGTCTGCATCTTCCTCAGGCGGCTCCTCTTGAGGATGTCTCTGTCTGGCTCACCAAGGATGGATGTTGTATCCAGGATAAGGCTGGTCAGCCCCTCCCGGCTTGGGCTCTCACCATTTTTCATGGGGGTTGACAGCAGTGGCTTGGTGGGTGGTGGTCTGGGACCCCAGCTGGCCTCCTGCTCTGGGTCCCTGGGGGCAGGAGGCTGGGGCTGGCCCTCGGGAGTAGATAGGGCCTCTGGGTCAGTGCGGAGGTCTCCAGGGGGTCTCTTGGGCCCCACACTTCTTGGAGCAGGTCTCCCCTTCCAGGTGTTCTCGCTGACGTCTGGGTACAAGGTAGGACATGGTTACCACTGAAGATCCTGAACCAGGGACCCGCACCCCAGGTGGCCCCCAGAACCACCTCTGATCCTGGGCCATCGATCTCTGTAAGTTCCCTGAGCACGTCTAACTGGTGGGGACTCCTGTCCTACATTGCAAACCCCCACCATTCCCTCAGCGCAGGCCCAGAGATGTCCTGCCTGCCTCCTGTCTCATCACCCAGCTCATTAGAGGTTCCAAGCAGAGAGGCTTCCATGCACCCCTCACCACCTCCATGCACAACTTCCCATGGGGTCCAATTATCTCTTCCCAAAGCAGCTCATTTTCTATTATGATTATGCAAGTGATTCCCCAAAGGAAGAAAGTGAGTCTGGCCACAAACCTGAGATGTGTGCTCTTGTATACCTGCCTTGGTGGGAGCAGTTCTAGACACTAGTCCATTTTGGCAACTCTGCCAACCAGGAGTGGCTCTGAATTCCTAGGCTAACACTTTTTGATGTTGCCTGAGCAATGCTAGTAGTTGCCCTTGGCAAGAAAGATGCCTAGGCCCCTGGGAGGTTCTGGATGGCTGTGGGGCCCCACACATCCCTTTCCTTAGGCCTTCAGGCTCCTGTGATGACTCGAGACTCATGTGAGTCATGAAACCCCAGACTACAGCAAAGCTTTGCACATGGAGGAGAGGGTGGCCTACCAGATCTGGGTGGTGTGGGCCGGCAAAATAAAACTGAAATGCTATGTCCCTCTGCCAGAAAGCAGAGATGAGCAGCAGTAGCCTCAGTTGCTTCTGAACTTGATTCTGATCCTCACTTTTCATTCCATGGCACCAAAAGGCATGCTTGTGGTCACCGAATGACAGTGCAGGAAGTATGCATGTGAGTGTGAATGTGTAGCCAAGTGTGTATACTTGTAAGGGAGTGTGTGGTAAAAATAGACACTTGTGAGTTTGTGTATGTGGACAGTGGGAACAAAATGTGAATATGTATATATGGGATAGCTATGTACCCTATTTGAATGTGTGTGATTGTGAATGTGGTGGGTATTTATAGGATGTGTATGTTAGTATGAATATGTGTGAGTGTGCATGTATCTGTGTTGATGCATGTGCAGTGTGCACACTTGTTAGTGGGAGTACGTATTTGCACATGTATATGTATACCGACTGCATTCTATATACACTATATGTCTATATGTACACACATGTGAGTGCACATGTACATGAAGAGATGTGTATGCATGCAAGTAGGTACACATGTGTGTCATGTATGTGCTTACCCTGAAATGCTCCAAAGGACTCGATGGACAGCACCCTTCTCCCGATGGCTGAGAGACTCCGGCACAGGCGGCATGAGGACATAGGCTGCATCTTCTCCTCACATAGGGCTATGATGCTCTAGGGACATGCATGTGCCTTTCAGGTAGGCAAACTCACCAGGAAGAGTCCCACCCTCCTGAGACCCGCCTCCGTGAACACAGCTGTGTGGTGGTGCCTGACAGTCCCCAGGGCCACCCTACCTGCCTACCAAGTGCACCTTCTGGCATAAAAGACAAGAAGTCCTGGAATTACAGAAAAATTTTGCCTGTTATAACTGTAAGTCAAAATTTTTCATTACAAAAATGTACAATAAAAGTGAAGTCCTGGTGTAAACAGGATATAGTGCTAAAAAATTCTCATGAGGCTGCTGGGACCCATGCAGTGTGTGAGACAGAGAGAGAGAGAGAGAGAGACAGAGAGAGAGACAGAGAGAGAGACAGAGAGACAGAGAGAGAGAGAGTGTGTGTGTACTACAGGCACTGAGCTTGTGGGGGGGGGGTTAGGTGAGGTCTAGGCCTATAATTTACCTTCAGATCTGGCCGGTCTCTGGGATCCTCTGCCTGCATCTGGCCCAGCAGTGTCTCCAGGTCCGGGCTTAGCTTGGGCTCCAGCTCAGGCTCTGGTACATACTCGAGGGCAGCCTTCAGCGTGGCCCCCAGAGAGTAGATGTGAGCCTGCAGCACCAAGGAGGCATGAAGGAACCATTAGTCCTCCTTTGCCTGAAACTGTCTAGAGCTTGTGGACTGGCTCAGGCCACAACTGCGATGGTACTGGCACTGGCACTACTGCAGGCATCATCTGCAGGCAAAACAATAGCACCAGTTCATGAGGCAATCAGGTCTGGGTCTTCACTGGCCCCAGAGCTCCACAAGCCCCTCCCACACTTCCCACAACCTTAGCCCCACATTGATCCCACCTGGTGCAGATGCTGGGCTCTTTCCCAGGGCTGCAATTCCCTTCAGAAGGAGATGGATTGTGTGTGTTCGTGTGTGTGTGCGTGTGTGTAATCCAGGGTCTTACACATGTTAGGCAAGATTTGAACAGGATGGCTTCCCCTTTTGTTGGAAAGTTGGGTTTTCACTAACTGAGCATATGAGAGTGGGTTCTGTACATGGTCCAGCCCCAGGATGTCAGCTTCGTCAAAGTCCTTGGCTTAGATCCTGGTAGGTTAATAGCAGCTGATGCCTCCCATGGGTGGGCACTGCCATGCCTTTCTTGCTTTATAAAACAGAAAAAAAAAAAACGGCTGATACTCTGGTTTTTCTTCAGACCGCATAAATTTTTTTCCTTTTACAAAAATGGCTGGTATTTTGTAACTGCAGTGATGTTTTCACATTAATTTGGGAAGGACCAACTTTTTTCCCCATTAAGTTTATTGGTATATTTAAAGCAAACAATACAGTCACATTTATCACTGGGATCTTATACCTTTACATGATGTATCTTGGTTCTTGTTTTTTCCCCTTACCCCTGCCCTCCCTTCACTCCCTTCACTCTTCCCTATTGGGACCAACTTTTTTTTTAACCAAAAAAAAAAAAAAAGAGAGAGAGAGAGGCCCTATAATAATAGAGACAGGGTCTGGTTTTGTTTGTTTGTTTGTTTGTTTTGTTTTAAAGTAACTGTACCTATTTGTAGGTCAAAATGCAATGTCTTGATTCATGTTCGCCATGTGGAATTGCCTTTGGCTTGTTTTCCTGTTTTAAAAATCCTACCTGCTGTACTGACTCCTGGAATTCCTGAGGGTTTTATGGCATTGTAAATGTAATGTTTAAATTCATTTCTGACTGGTAATTACTGACACAAAAGAAAGCCCTTATTCGGGGCTGTATCTTGTGTTCACCTGGCCTCTGATGTCATCTATACTCTCGGGTTCCAGGTCCACAGAACACTGACAGATGTAATTCTTCAGGGTCCTACCTTAGCCTCCTGAGTCCATCCATTCTTCTCATGCTAATGTTGCAGATCCGGATGCCCCTACTTCTCACAGATGAACACTGACCACCCCCCAGCCTCCCTTCACATCCTGTGAGGACATAGCCAAGCCACAGAATGTCTTTGAGCCCTACGGTGGTCTTTGGTGTTGTCAATGTAAAATGACAGACAGCATTGGGCACAGCATCTTTGTGGGGCAGTGGGACATGGGGAGAGAGGAGGAGCCTACAGCCTGCCCTTGGCCACCCACTCTGGACTGGCACTCTTCTCACTCACAGACTCTCCATGTCTGGCAAGCTCCTCTGACCTCACCCGGTGACCCATCTGCCCTTCAGATCCAGCCTAGACTCACTTGATCTCAGTGGCCTCTGGGCCCCTTGATGGAAACAAAGACACTGTCATTTCCTTGCAGCCCTATTCTCAGGCCCACTACTTTTGCCCTGCCTTTTTGGTCTCCCATCAAAGATGGTCCCCTGTGTGGACTGTGGCCTCCACGCAGCAGGACCCCATCTGGCCTATGGCTCTAATCCTTGTTGAGTGCACACCTGTGGACTGATGACGTGAACAAGTGAATAACATGTGTCAGCCCTGAGTTTTCCTAGTTGGTCTCTCATGAGCCCACATCTACTCAGGGAAATGAGGGTAAGAGAGGGTCCTGTGCGGGTTGGATGTGGGCTCATTTTTAATTGTGTGGAACTAGGTAGCTTCTGGAGTTTCCTGAGCAAGAAGTGATGTGTACAGATATGGTCCTGGGAAGACTTACTGTAACATGTCCTGGAAATGTGGGGAGTGGAGGAGTCAGTCTCAGTAGCAGGAAGGGAGATGGCCCTGGGTGTGGGGAGTAAGGGAGGCTCTGTGGTACCCAGGATACCTGGGCCAGCACAAAGGGGGTTTTGGACTATAGGAAAATTCACTGTGCATCAGTGCAGTGGGGTTTGAGGTAATGGTCAGGAGGAGGGGCTCTTGAGTCAGTGATGGGGGTGACCTCAGCCTGAATGCAACTGACAGCCACCTTCAACAGAGACCCACGAGGCCAGACCAGGGCATCAAGTGTCCATCACAGAGGCTGATCCTGCCAGACTTTCCTGGGAGCACAATAGCACCAGGAAGGTGAGAGAGATGTTGCTTCCCTGAGTTGTAGGTAGGAGTATGCCCTGAGCTGTATGGCAGGACTCTCCCTGAGCCAGTATTCCGGGGTCAACACATGCAATCATTAAATTGCTCAGGGGTCCTGGCAGCCAGCAGCCAAGGCCCCCAGAGTAAAGCTAATCTAGGACAGATCAGAAACTCCAGGCATCATGGACTGGCAGGGGCCGTGTGGCCCTATGTAGAAATGGGTACCTGCCTTGGCACACCCAGAAGTTCTTTCCACAAGAGTAAGGTACAATCTCTTGATCAGTGGTTAGACAGGAAAATCAGAAGGCCTCATCGTTGGATGATTCTGAGATATGAAGACAGGGGCTCTTCCCCTATAACATAACCATCAGCCTCCTACATTTATAACCGCTGTTGATACCACTGTGTCCTGTATCTGGAACACCTATCATTGCATAGGACTCCCAGGAAAGTCTCTCCCCATGGAATTTAGGTGCCTAGAGCTCAGCAGCTTCTTCTAGGCTGGACTCCTCTGCAAATGAAGGAACACAGTGCCCTCTACAGGAAGAATAGCATCCACCCACCAGCAGAGCCAGGAATTTCAAGGCACTTACCTTGATGGTTAGTGGATAAATGGGCAATAAAATAAATGAAATGAAATAAGATGCTATAGAAGATACAAACAATCCAATGAGTAGGCTGGAGTCATACAGAGAAAGCTAAATACCAATCGAGAATACAAATTTCAAAACAAAGAAAACCAGGGCTGGGGATTTAGCTCAGTGGTTGCTGACTGCCTCACAAATGCAAGGTCCCAAATTTGATCCCTGGTACCCAAAACAAAACAAAACCCACCCACCCACCCACACACAAAAACAAAGAAAACCTTAACAAATTGCAAACAACAGATGCACAGACAGCATTTTTCACTCACAACTTGACAGAGTCAGAAGTCACAAAAAGAAAGATAAACAAAAAGTCAGTGTGTTCAGAAATAAGAACAATTGTTGGGAATGAATGCACTCACATGACCACACTTGCATAATAGAATTTAACAAATGCTGGGCAGAAAGCATTTTTCTCACAACTTGACAGAGTCAGAAGTCACAAAAAGAAAGATAAACAAAAAGTCAGTGTGTTCAGAAATAAGAACAATTGTTGGGAATGAATGCACTCACATGACCACACTTGCATAATAGAATTTAACAAATGCTGGGCAGAAGGAGCCAGCTAAGGTCAGCTTTGCTCAAATCCATCCATAGAAAGCACAGAAACAGGATGAACCCTGACCTCTGCTGTCTGGATGTCACCCTCGGGGGTGCTGGGTGCTGGTCACATTCTGACTCCATCTGGATGCTGCTTATGAGGTTGTGTGCTTTTGATATGTGCATATCTCAATCAAAAGTAACAAAACCAGCCAGTCATGGGAACATGTTCCTGTAAGAAGGCTGAGGTAGGAGGACCACAAGTTTAAGTTCTACCTGGGCAACTCAGCAAGACCTTGTTTCAAAAAAGGGGGTGGGGGATGTAGCTTAGTGGTAGTTGCTCATGGGCTTGATTCCCAGTACCCCCTCCCTCCACACACATAAAGTAAGAAAATGACAACCCATCATACGGCTAAGGAAGAAATCTCAGTGGAAATTAGAAAAAAATATATATATAGACTCAAACACCATGTGGCAAAACTCACAAAATGTAGCAAAACTCTTGTGTTGAGGGAAATTCATAGGCTGCAGCACTGACAATGTTATTAGAAAGGAAGAGAAGCTAAAAATGAATCATCTGAGTCTGCAACTCACGTTAGAAATGGAAAAGACACTGTACACAGAGAAAGTACAGGAAGAATGAAAAGCGAGACTCAATGGAAAATAATACACAGACATACCAGGAGACAGCACATGATGCATAGAAGCCTCTCTGAACAAGATGAACAGAATGACCCCTGGTAAGACTGACAAGTGAAAGGAAAGAGAAAGTGCAAACTAATGGTCAGTGCAAGGAAAGGGGGCAACCTACAGAAACTGTGGCAGGCCACAGCCAGGCCTTTTAATGTACTTGTTTTTATCTGCTTTGGTTTGCCAAAAAGCTGACTCAATAAGAAGTGCAAAACAGGTTAGTCTTGTAACTAATAAAAATCGAAAGTAATTAGAAATATTTTTGCAAAGCAAACAGATGGCACTATCCGTGAGTTTTACCAGACTTTCAAGGCATAGATCATCCCATTCTTACACAAACAGAACAAAAAGAGAGAGGGTGCCCAGACAAGGCTGGGAAAATCCTCATGTCAATGCCGTCAGAAATAGCAGGAGAATGGAAAATTACTAGCCACTCATGAAAAATATGGGAAAATCCAAGCAATTTTAAGTCCAATTTAACAGTAAATAGGAAAGATAAGACACTAGGCTAACCTAGGTTTTTCCAAGTAGAAAAAGGGTGATTTAATACCAGAAAGTAAATATATCAGTGTTATAATCTTAATGAAGGTAAATTATATGATCATTTGAAGAGGTGCAAAGAGAGCATTTCATAAAGATGAAATATACATCCATGATTAACCTTGATGAATTCACCATAGAAAGGAACTCGTGGCCAAGTCAAATGCCATCCTGGCTGGTGAAAGCTGAAAACACACTGTTAGAATGGGGATGGGGAGGGGACCAGTGCCCTGGACAGGATGGATGCCCTGCAGTTCCATCCTGAGGCTCAATGCTGCTCCTGGCACAAGGGAAGCCTGAGGCACCACCGCTGTTGGTTTTTGTTTGTTTGTTTGTTTGTTTGTTTCTTCAGTGATTGAGTCAGTTAAAGAGAAAAATCAAAAGAATCTATAAATTATTAGAAATAATAAGATTTGACAAGATGGTTGGATATAAAAATTTAGATGTTAACCTGAATTGCATTTCTGTAAACTAGCAACAGACAAGCAGAAAACTACTGAAAAAGTTGACTATCAGTTTTAGAATGGAATAAATAAGCAATAGATAAAAATAAGGCCCCAAGAATAAATTTAATAAAAGATATCCCACATATGGCACAAAAATTTAAAGTGGCACTAAGAGAAACACAGTAAGTGAGGAAGTATCAGGTGTTTATAGAGAAGTTCATGCATTATAAAGATGTGAATTCTCCCCAAATTGATCTACACATTAGTGCCATTCCAGACAAGATGCCAACAGAGTTTGCACAGAATGTGATAAATTGATTCTATGGAATAAAGGGTTGAGAATAATCAGGTCACTTGTGTAAGTGGTAGAGCTTGCCAGGAATGGGTGATTAAAAGTACTCTGTTCTAGGACAGGGAAGATGAGGGACCAAGGAATAGAGCAGGATGGAGACCTAGAAGCTTCTTGTCTCAGGTCAGCCTGTGCATACAGGAGAGGTGGCATGTTCTGGAGCTAGCCAATAAACACAGCCAGGAAAGATGGCCATCGACAGAGAAGGATGAAAGTAATCCTTATCTTACACTGGATAAAAATAATGGGTGTCATATGTTAACTGATTTAGTTGTTTCATAATGTGTACATATATCTGAACATCCCTGCATACTCTGTATAAATGGACAAACTTTGTTTGGCAGTTACACTTTAATAAAGCTAGGAAAAATCAGCTTCAAGGGAATTAAATATGAAGAACAGAACTTTGAAACTCTTGGTGGCAAGTATCAGTGAGTATCTGTTAGACCTTGAGCTGGGGAAGTCTGTTAATAGACTACACTACAATAGTGTACAATAGCAATCTACACTAGCAAAAGAAGCGCTAATTGATATGACCACGGGAAAAGTGAGAAATTCTTTTTCATCAGAGGATACCTGGAGCTTTCCCCTAAACTGTGGTTCAAAAGCTCAGAAATATTTTCATAACAGTACTAAGATGTCATTTGCTTTTTTTCACTTTCCTTGTCTTCCTAGCCGACAGGGAGGTTTCAGAGGCCATACGATGTGGTACTGGAACAGCCTGAATGAAATTACATTCAATGTCCAAGGCCACTTCTCCCACACACAGAGCTGTTCTCAATCTGCCACCAAAGACAAATACAGGAGCCTCAAGGACAGCTCCCACTGGGGACAATCCAGCACCCTCAGAGGCCAGCTCAGAGGCCACCTACTGCAGCAACCAAGGTAAACAGGTAACCACAAAAGTACAGGTGAAGAGGGAGGGGCTTGGTGAATTGCCTTCCCCAGCTCTTACCTCAAAGGTGTTTCCAGTCAGGTCGAACTCTGGGGGGACAAAGGCGCCTTCGGGGTCATCTTGGGGAAGAAAAAAGAAGATGTTTTGATCGCATCTACAAAAAATGAGTGAAGACGGCAAGCTACCAACTACAGCTCAGCCCCTCAGATCTTATAGGAAGGATCAGGAAAGATGATCCAGGTACTCTCCCTACATCCCCTCCCTTTGGACCTGACATCCCAGAGGATGTTTTTAAGCATCTCAAGAGTCAGCAGTTAAGAAGAGAAATGGGTGCCTTAACGTGGGAAACTGATTTCAAAGGGAAGGAGAAAACTTTTGTCTGGTTTCCCAAAGAAGGAGAACTGAAGGATTCAGTTCTCAAATGGTATTGAAAATCATGTCCGTCAGTTCAAGCAGTCCAGAGAGGGAAGTGGCTAGCCCACCAGGGCCAGGTGAGTTTCGCTAGTGATTCACTGAAAGCCGGTAGGGGAGACAAAGAGCCCAGATCTCCCTTAGGGTTAGAATTAGGGTTAGGGTTAGAGCCTGTGACAGCCAAGCCCCTCCCTGGTCCTCCTCCCTAGCAGCCTTGGGGAATGGGAGACACCTGGCTAGTGCAGCTCAATGCATGACCTGCCCCTCTCCCTCCATGGTACCTCAGGTTGAGGGTACCATCAGGCTCCAAGGAAACCTGGGACCTGGCATGTGCCCTGTGTCCACTCAGTTGCCTGCCAGGTGCCTTTCACCCTGGCTGTACCACTTGTTGGGCCTCACCGCTGAGCTGCTCCATGAAGCACACATTTCCGCTGGTGTTGAAGGCCAGAGTGTCGGGTGTGATGCACAGGGTCTGGAAGATGGGAGAGTGGGCAACACTCCGCATGGACAGGCTGCACTCCAGGCACACAGCCCAGGCCTCCTGCTCACTGAGGCCACTGTCCCGCAGGGAGAGGATGTCAGCCAGGGTCACATTCTCCTGCCAAAATACATCTTGTTGTAAGCCCACTGAGTGGCCACCCCTAGGCAGAGCCCTGCACCCTGCACTGAGAATGAATCTCTGGGTAAGCATCCTTGTGGGTCAGGAAAAGAGTTTTAGGCAGGTCTTATAAAACCAGTCATTCTGCTGCTCCCCGAATGTCAGAGCCATGGAGCATTTGGTGAAACAGCATGTGCTGCCCAGAGCAGGTGTCTGTTCATGTAGCCTGAGGATGAAGCCATCCTCCCTGGAAGTTGGCTGGAGACTGAGAACTTGTGCCCAGCTACCCAATGGCTCAGGGATATCCCTTATCCCACAGGTTCACAGCTCAGCCAGCACACAGAGGCTGTGAACATATAAGTCACAGGCACCTATGGAGATAGAGTCCATGCCTGTAGAACATTTATTGTGCACAGGGATCCTTCAGTTGGCTAATGTGGTATAAGCCCATGACATATGACATGCCATTTAATCACACATGTATTACGTGGTTGGTTATGAAGCTGTCCAGATGCTAGTTACAGGCAGCTCACACAGAGTGCAGTCAATGGTGGTTCCTCCTGCATAGCCTGACTGCTAACCCAATTGTCTCACCACAGACACCCAGATGGGCTCTGTGACTCTGTGACAGCCTCGCTGTGAGCACGAAGGTCAACACTAGCACCCACAGTGCACCCACATAACAGAGGCATACCCACACACATGTGCACATGTCCCCATATAACACATGCAATTCACACATGTATGGACCCATGTGCCAAGTTCCTATTTGCACGCATGTGCACACAGAAGCATACATACCCTCTATACATGCACACACTCAGTGACATGTCAACATATACCCTTTCACATGTACATATACTTATGTACCAAGACTCTCACCCACAGGCATGCACACATTCCCAATTTGCCCACACATTTTCATATATCTTCACACATGTACACACATTCACATGACAAGAACAACCATTCCTTTTTGTTGTTTTTTTTTTTTTTAGACAGGGTCTTGCTATACAGTTCAGGCTAGCCTTGAACTTACTATGCAATCCTTGTTCTCACAGCAATCTTCCTGCCTCAGCCTTCCAAGTACTGGGATTACAGACATGTGCCATCACATCTGGCAAGGACCATTCTTATGTACACAAGCACACATCACAAACACAAACACCTTTTGATTTATTTCCACATGCACTACTATGGCCCGTGTAGCCAAAGGGTTCACAGAGTGAGAAACCAAGGTGGGAGAGTAAGAAAATCAAAGAAAGAAGACAAAGAGGACAGTAAAGTTTATAAAGCTGAGGCCAAGTGGATACCCTTTGTCCTGATGAGATAAAAGGCTTGGCTTGCATCCTCAGCACCTTTATTTATAGTGTAGATAAGGAAAGCAGAAAGGGGATGCCTGATTGAAACGGAGAGAACAGCTAGGGCCTGCACGACATTATCCTTAGTTTTCTGGCGAATGGGTGGGGAGGAAGAGAGGCCTCTTCTTGGACAGGCCTTGCTCCACCACGCCCTCTGCAGGAGGAGGCAAGTTAGGCCTGGCCATAGAGATTTACAGCACCCTGCTCCCAGCAACGTACAACTGTATCCATATGTCCATACCCTGTCACACACATTCACACTACTACATGAACCAAACACATAACATTACTACACTTTCTCAACACACGCGTGTACTCATATACACATACATTTATACATGCACTTTCCTATATTCACACTGAGCACACACACACTCATGTGCACAGATGTACATGTTACATCTGCACTCACAAGCATAAACACAGTTGCTGGCACGTGTACATATGAGCAGGCAGATGCTCGCACGCGCGCGCGCGCACACACACACACACACACACACACACACATACACATCAGACTCCCTGAAGCCCTCTCTTGGTCTACTGTTCCTGTACTCCCTCATTGTGTTTGTGCACTGTTCCTCTTACAGGAAGGCATGAGAGGTTCTGAGGGAGGTGGGCTGCGGCTGGGGTTAGCAAAGCATCTAGACATCCCTTAGAGAAGTGGGAACAGGTTGAGTGGGGCATGGAGAAGGGGCAGGGCCCCCACCTTCTCCTCCAGCCTTGAGCATGGCCCAGAACAGCCAAGGGGCCAGGTCCACCTTTAGCTGGTATTGCAAAGAATGCCCACAAGCACAGGTGAGGGGATAAAGGGCTTAAACCAACCAACCAACCAACAAACAGAACTATCATCCCCAGTGTGGAACTTGGCTGGGGCTCTAGGTCTGCTGCCTCCCAGGTGACTGGCATATCCGTCTGTCTACTTCCTTCTCAGAGTCCAGGGAGGGGCCCAATGATGTCACTTCCCCAGCTTTCCAGCTCTTTCTGTGGTGGGAAGCTTCTTGCTGTGCTTTCTGATGTGAACACCCTGCACCCTCTCTGCACCACAAAGGACCACTCAGGACTCAGGGGAGCCTGAAAATGCCAGCAGTGCCTATAAGAGTGGGCTAAAAAGGTACTCACAAATGCATTCACATGCATTTCACATGTGGCTGTGCACACATATCATCAAACACTCACCTATACAAAAGGGCACAGCACAGTACATACACATAAGCATGCACATGTGCTTACCACGGACATGCAAACAAATACAGGCACACACTAAGTGAGGTAAACCCTTGTACACCTCACATGTTTGTGACATTCAGAAGAAAGGAAGCCAGCTCACAATGTGAATCTGAGCCAGTCCCGGTCCCATGGCAGGGCCTGCCAACACTCTGTTGGCTGCTGCTCACGTGGGCCAGCAGGCCTGCCTGCTCACCACTGGCATCAGGGTGTGCCGCCAAGAGAAAGCCCTGTGACCCATGGCACCACCTCCTGCTCAGGCCCAGAAGGAAGTTACCCCTGAGAGTTGGGAGCCCCAGCCAATCTGCAGGGCAGCTAGACACCTGCAGCCCCCAGCACCTGTGCTAGGAGGTCTAAGTGTGGAGAAGCAGAAGTCTTTGGGATTCTCTGGGTTACTCGGGAGAACTGTGAGGTGTTACCTGAGTCACTGCTTCTGGCCATGGCTAAAGCCTCCTCAATGACTGGACAACCTAAACCCCCTGAGATCTGCTTTCCCCAGGTGGTACCCCCCGATGGCACCCTGTTGGCTTCCCCTGCCAATCACTGAGAATCCCAGGTCTGAGCATTACTCCTCATGGTCATCTGCCCTCTGGAGTCTACATCTGCACCTACTACCTTCTTGCTCTGACTCAGGTGTGAGGAATGACTCTCCCTTGCCAAAATCCATGGAAGCTGAACTAGGGCAGGTGGGAGTGTGGGATGAGCTTTGGCTAAGATGCCAAAAGCAAGGAGGAGAGACCAGGAGGGATGTGGGCAGCACTGGCCAGCTGCTCAGCCTTAGTCCATGTCCTCTCCCCCATTTTGGGCAGGCAGCTCACAGCCAACCCTGTGGACAGAAGCCCACCCTGCAGGTCTTTTCTTGTCCACAGAAGAGGCCCCCTAGAGACCTGTGGTTCTTAGCTTCACCACTAGGCTGGTCAGTTTCACCTTGCTTGCAGGCAGCTCAAGTGGGCTCCATAGGCTTAATGGACCACAGCAGACACTTTGGAGGGAGGTGATGTGCTAGGTGTAGTAAAGCAGCTTTGGCTTCAGCAGAGGCCCATCTGCACAGGGCTCCCATACACCCAGCACACACAAGGGCTCCGCACAGACCACAGCTATCACGACTCCCTACGCTGCAATCTCTGTCAGTTCTTGCTAACACAGCCTGACCTTGCATGGCCAGCCAACTTCAGGTGGCTCCATCTGCCAGGTAGAGCCCCAGCTCCTTGGGTGGGTGGGAGGGTCCTTCACACTCCACCTGCCCCTATACTTCCCCAGCATGGTGCTGCCTGGGTGCTGCCCAGGGCCACCCGAGCCATGTTCCCTGAAGGGCAGCAAAGAGCCATTGTGTGGGTACAATTTGAAATTGCGGGGATATGGAAAGGTAAATGGATGAGACCCTTGCTTTCCAGAGCAGTGACACTTCAGCCCATACCTGGGCCCCAAAGGATGGGACCCTTATCTGGTTACTGCAGAAGACCACTTAAGGCTTCTGTGCACTGATGAATCTGCCTACTCTGAAAGACTTTGATCTGGGGTTGCAGGGGACCCAAGGTCATTGTGCACACTTCAAATGTACTGCTCATAACCAGTTAACTTTTCAGCTGTGGAATGTTCTAAGAAGACCTGCCAACACAAAATTGAAGTCATTCTAGGGGCATGTGCAAGCAAATCCCCAGGCCTCTGAGTGGCCAGATCCCCAGCCTTGGGGAGCTCTGAAAGTGCCCCCTGTTGGTGCACCTGTTTGTGGCTGTCACTCTGTAAGGCTCTGTCCCACTCAGGCTGCCTTCTGTCCATTTGGGTTAGGTCATACGGACCCTTCGAGGGCACACAGAATATCCCCTTCTTCATAGGATGTTCCCAATTGTGGGCCCCATTGCCCTTCCACACACAAGCTCAGTCCAGTGTCGATCCTCGGAAGGTTCTGGGAAGGCACTTGCTGGGCTTGGGGTAGGGGTGAGAATGCTCTTGCTGCTCAGGGAGGGGGGCAGAAAATGCCCCATCTGGCCCCCAAACAGCATCATCTTCATCTCCAAGCCTTTTCTGGTCTACAAGGCTGGAGCCAATAGCACCACCTGCTTCTTGACCAGGCAGCCAGTGCTGGCAGCCCTGACCACAGCCATCTGGTGTATATCTGCCTCTCTTGTAGCCATGGTCCTGCCCACATTGGATCAGGCTGTTCTGCCCCATCCCACATCACGTGCCCACAGAGGCTGAAATTCCATGTGACTCCAGGGAAGGACACTTCTTCCAGGAAACTCAACTTGCTCAGTGCCTTGGCAGAACATTTCCCCTGTGCACCTGGAAGCCTCTGCTTGTACTAACCCAGTGGTACTACATGCAGGTGGCCAGGGACACAGAGTGGTTACAAATTCCGGGACCTAGTCAAGCTGTGCCAGTCTGCTTACCAAGAGCTCTGGGTGGTTTCTAGCCGAGGGGTTCTCATACATGCGTGGTCCACCCGTGCACACTGCATCTTCAGGCTCATCCAAGTCAAACTGCCACTATGCTAGGTGCTGGTCTCTCTGCCTCACCAGTGAATGTTGAGCTGTTTTCCAGCAGGCTGTTCCCACTCATATTCCCACAGCAGCAATAGAGCACTGATTGCTGGGGCCCACAGATCTTGCCAGCACATGCCTGTCCACTTCCTCTGTTACCACCCCTTGGAGGTCATGACATAGTATTCATATGGTTGGGTATATTTTGCATTCTCTCAATTACACTAAGGTCATGTGTTCACTAGCCATTTGGATTTTTTCTGGGTCACAGTGGAGAAGAGCTATTCCAGGGGGTCTTGGAGTCTTCAGTTTTCCACCTCTTGACCTAATTCTGGATTGAATTCTTATGTCCTAGTCATAGGATGCAACCAGTTTCTGGTGCCCATCTCACCTCCTTGGGAGGTGCCCTGGGCCACACAGACCCTTCCTGGTGGCTCCTCCAGCATTGCCACTAGGATGATGACACAGCCTTGTTTTTCTCCACCCAACACGGGATGGCTTGCAGATGCAGTCCAACTATAGAAGGCTGTGACAGGTATAGAATAAAATCTTTCAATGTAAACCAAGCTAAATATGTGCAGGAAGCATAAAGTCTGAACCCAAGATGTGTTCTCAGATCAAGCTCAATCTTGGCTTGAAGCTGGCCTGGGGTCCCCTACTGCGAACAGGAGCAAAGGTGAAGCCCTCTCCCCAAGGGAGAGGCCCACCTGAAGTTCCCACTAGATACCACTAAAATAGTAAGATTTGCAGTTAACCTAGAGACCTTGGCACAATCACAGAAGACCTCCATGCACTTGTGCATGTGCAAGCAGCACAGACAGACACTGGGGACATTCTTATAACAGAAGGCATAGGGCCTGGTGAAAAACTAGACCACTCTCTGGGTGTGAGACTTAGGTTCAAACTGGCACTACCTGCTATCTGTGGTTGCAGCCACTGCTTTGGTGTGCTAGACATAGAGGAGACCCTCAAAGCACAGCAGCTGATAAAAAAAAAGTGCTGTGTGCAAAGCCACGTTTTCAGATCTGCTTCCAAGGATGACTAGAAGGCAAATCTCTTAGTAGTTACATTGAAATGTGTCCTGTCTTCCAGGTGGACTGAGGGCACCCTTTCTTTTCCATCAAAGCCAGTGAGAGATCCAAAGGTTTATTTCCTGGCTTCTCCTCTCTGCAGCCTTCAATTGCACCAAATCCAGGCCACCTTGGGGGGTGGGGGCAGTGTTACCCCCTGCACTGCCTGGAGGCCTCTGGATGGCTGGGCAGCAGCCATGGACTCTTTGTCCCTTCAGGGCCCGCTACTTCCAGGAAGTGGGTGGGTACTGGCAGGGAGGGTCAGGCCCTGGGGACTGCAGTTATGAGGTATCTGCCCCAGGAGGTTTCTGGTTGAATTTTACCCACCAGTTGGCCAGGCCTCCCCAGAAGGGCTGGTGAAGAATCTTCAGCACCACAGTGTCCCCAACAGGCTACAGAGCTACATTCCTCAACAGGGACCCAGGAGCCCAGCTAGGGAGGCTTTCCCCAGAGACTCTTATTTTTGGTAATGGACAGAATGCCCTGTATCTTCTGGGGGCCACCTCTCACACTGGTTCACAATCATGGACCCCAAGCCCCAGCCTGTGGGCCAAGTAAGGGCTCTGCTTGGGTTGCCTCAGATCCTGAGCAGGTCAGTGAGTACCTTCAGCTTTAGAGTGGGGTCCCCTCAGCTCTAGTCCTCCACTGTCCCTGCATTGGCAGACACTCACTCCTCTGCACAACAGTTACATTCAGGACCCCACCCCATGCAGGGTCAACTTCTGCAATGATAGCCCCACTGTTGTTCTATGCGGCATTTCAGCCATCCTGAGGGAGCCTGAGCACAGGTCGCCCTGTGGCTGCCACCTGCCAGCCAAGGTCTGCCAGGGGCCTGAGTCTGCCATCATTCCTTGCTCCTCCTCGGACCCCTCTTCGGGAGCCGGCGGGGTCCCGCGGGCTGGGAGCTCACCTCGTCTTCCGGCAGGGTGGGGAGAGGTTCAAAGTCGTAGAAGTCCAGGTCTTTGACATCCTCCTCGTAGAAGCCGGAGGCGGCCGGGTCCGTGGCCTGCATGGTTTGTGCTCGGTAGGGACCTGCGCGGTAGGCTGGGTCTCCAGCCGCGTTCGCGCACCCCTCGCGGGTCCCCTCCCCCGTGTTCTCTCCCCAGCAGGTTCCCTCCCCAGCTGGCCGCCGAGAGGTTCAAAGTCGTAGAAGTCCAGGTCTTTGACATCCTCCTCGTAGAAGCCGGAGGCGGCCGGGTCCGTGGCCTGCATGGTTTGTGCTCGGTAGGGACCTGCGCGGTAGGCTGGGTCTCCAGCCGCGTTCGCGCACCCCTCGCGGGTCCCCTCCCCCGTGTTCTCTCCCCAGCAGGTTCCCTCCCCAGCTGGCCGCCCCGC